TCCACAGGCGAGGTGAAAATGCTGGAGTATCAGGCCGTCGTCTGCAGCCTTTCTGAGGAAACCTTGGCTGCCTCTGGCGTAAAGCGGCAATTTTACTTCAGGACCTATATATCTCAAAAGGGCTTAGAGAATAACCAAAACCTGTCTTTCTGTCGCAGAATGCAAACTTAGCTCATGTCCAGTCACATAGAGACCTTGGCTCTTGGGTGCTTGCTCTGTTTGGTAATGAGGTGAGAAATGTTGCTTTTATGCTTTTTACCCTTGGTAAACGAGGTGCTGTAAACATTAAAAATCTTCTGTGTGCTTTGCTTGTGGTGCATTTTGCTTAGCCTGTTTTACTTTCTTGTTCTTATGGACTAGAACTGGTTTTCTGTTCTGCTTGGCACAAGTGAAGTTAGGTATGCCTTGAAAATAGCTTTCTTGACTACTTTGATATTTTTCTTTTTTAATTTTAAAAGTAACCCATAGGTTTTTAAGCCCTCAGACATAGCTGTGGTTTCAATAGGATGCTTCAAAGTAGTGCATTTTAATAATTGAAAATTATTTAAAAGATTTAATAATTATGTTTAAACAATAAATTAAGTATGAAATCTTCCTGATACACTGTAATGCAACTCTTTGGAGATCATGAAGTAATCAAATTTCTTTCTTTTTTTATCCTTTGCACTATGTCTTGTTTCTGTCTTAGTTGAGGACTGGATAGGTAGGTTCAAATAACAATTTAAATTAATGGCTTTACCCCTTCAAGTATTTCGTTATATGAAGTTCATGCTCAACAACTTTCCTCTTAAATTCCACTGCCCTCTACTGGCTGGACTAGTGGGGTCCACCTGCCCAGTGCTCTTCCCTCTCCAGTTTTTTTTGTTACTCCTTTTTTTTCTTTTTTTTGCTTGTTTGTTGGCTTTCTTTTCTTTTTTTTAAGGTCATAAACCATTGGAAAGTGTGCTGTGACAAATCTACTAAAACAGCATCTTTACAAGGTAGAGAAGGTTGCTGGCAGCATGATCTCCCTCAGGAGCCCCGGACTTTAGATTTCAATCTTCTCCTTGATCCAAAATAACCTAGTTGGCCTGATCTTGAAGTCGCACTGCAAAGCCTATTTTCCGAAGGCATAATGGGAAAAAAGATGTGTTGCATTTGGAATCTGAGTGTGGAGAGTTTATAGCTGGAATATTGATTTGACTTTCTTTTCTCTGTTCCTGGGTTTTGGAGAAAATGGTGGTTTACAAACAATTTTTTTGCAAAGATAATATTTTTATAAACAAACATTTTGTAAATCTAATTATATAAAATACATATATATATGAATACTTATAAATAAATATAAATGTGTGTTATATTCCCCCCCTTAGGTGTTTAAATAGTTTTCCCCTTTTCCCATTCATGCTGTTCTGTGTTCTTCACATGAACAAATACATGTGCTTGAGTAGTTGAATAATCTCATCTGCCTGAACAGACTTTGCATGTGAGTTAAATCAGATGGAGGATTAAGGCTTGGGGTGAAAACCTGAGAGTTCAACACATCTTTGATAAATAAATTGTTCAAATGAAACTTTCAGCTGTTTTTTTTTTTTATAAATCCGTGAACTTTCATTATTGCAGACATGTGTAGCCAATGCATTTGATCCCCTTCCTTAGCAGGCTCTTATCATCTGCATGCTGTACCTGAAATCACTTGGAGCTGTTAAGTCCAGTATAAGAGCTTAGGTTATTTTTAACCTTGCCTAGTTCCAGATGAAACATTTTCGTTTCGTGTGAGTGTGCCTCTTTCCTGTGCGATGACAGCATTAGGTGCAGATGATCGTGAGTTTTTCTACAGCCTGCAATGGACTGAATGCTCCAGTGTGCTCAGTGTCTGTTTCAGCAGAGGGCAGCACATGGGGATATTAAATAATTGCGTTTCACTTGACCTTTACAGTGACTCAATCTTTCTCCCACACTTCAGTAGTCTCCAGACAGGATAAACCTTGGAAATACTGGGAGGTTTTTTGTCTGAAATCCTGTTTTTTGCGTATGTCTCTTAGTTGTAGAGCTACCAGGTTTTGAATAGGCTTTGGCTGTCATTTTTGGCATTGCTATTAAAAAAAAAAAAAAAAAAAAAAAAAAAAAACACAACTTTTTTTCATAGCATTCAACTTTATTTTGTAAAACTGCCAGTTCCAGATTCTTTTCTGAAGTTATCTAACTGGGCAGGAAGTGGCTGTGAAGGTGGAAGTCAACAATAATTAGATTAAATCCATTCTTTTTCGCTCATGCCTACCTGTCTGCACCTTTTTCCCTTACTAGAACTGTGACAATCTAGGGAAATGAGAGGAAGAGGGGATAAAGCAATGGATATTTTAATGAAAAAAGGAAAAGCTTTCAGTGGCACCACAAGCAGAAGAAAGTATGGCTGCTTTGCAGTTGGTCACACTGCTGACCTTGCCTCTCGTGTAGCAAAGAGGTTTCCAGTGGCTATGAGAAGAAGTAGTTGGGGCCTGCTAGGCTCTGATTCTGGCAGCACCACTTAACGTTTCCATTCTATAGTCTTCTCATGTATATGTTAAGGCTGATGCTTTCCTACTTCTCATCCGGGTTGTGAATGTAGTATTTTTTTGTTTGTTTGAAAGGGCATTGGAGAAGTGAAGTGCTTTGTGATATATACCCAAGTTCAGTGAAGGAAAGTTGCTTTAACTTCTGTACAACCCTTGGCTTATATGAGTTTAATCAATTTATTTGTTTGACAGTGCAGTTATTTTTTTCTTCTGAGGTAGTGAGGCTTTCCATATTGGGGAATACAGTCACTATCATGGCAAACAGCTAAAGTACTTGAAAAGGTTTGATGGTAGCTAGATGGCAGGTATGGGAGAAAAACTGAAAAGGCATCATGACTTGATTTTTTAAAATTTTTTTTTCTTTAGGTCAATATAAGAGACTGCAGAGAGACGGATTTAAAAAAAATCTCCTTTTAGGATCAGCAGACTTGTTCCTTGTGATTCTGTTTTCTAGCTGAGAGAAGGAGCAGGATGTGGGTTTTCAAGATGTTTGTTTGATCCTGTCTTCTCTTTAACGTTTCATATCTCAAATTGCATGTCCTTTTTAAAAGTAAGGTGGTTTCTTTGTATTTGCCCCACTTCACCAAGTTAGTCCTTCCCCTCTTCCCAATTTCCCTAATATTACACATGCTTTTGTTTTCACTTATGAACTTCAAAATGTGCTTGTGTTGTAACTCACGGTCTAAAAAAAGATCTGTGTAAAGTTTCAGACATCATCATCTCCCAGGATTTTAGCTGTTGCTATAGAAGCCTAAGTTCTCTTTTGAGAGACCTTTCCAATATAAAGAAGTTGATACTGCGGGAAAGTTGTCATGGAAATACGCAGTAAAAAGAGAAAGGAAATCTCAGTTTGATGACTGTTACATAGCCTTAGCCAGCTTGGTGAAGTGGCTTCATATCTAGAGATCTGATTCTGCAGATTTCCTTTGTTACATGCCAGTGGACTGGAACGCTACGGAGTAGAACCCAGAGAAATATATTATTTAACATTTATATCACCAGAGATACCTCCTCAACTCAGTGAGCTTCGTGTTTATCCAGATTCAACTTTCCTCACTGCATAATAATGTCTAAAAAGCAGTATGATTCTATTCCTTAGGCTACCCAACCCTCCGGATGGGGAGGCAAGGTCCCTTTCAAGCGGAGTTTGTAGCTGTGTTGCAGGAATGGGGCTCATCGGTTCCTTGGTGTCAGGCCACTGCAGTGGGTGCAGAGAGCAATGTTATCTGCAGCCTCCACCGATGTTTCTGTTGGAAGGAACCCCCTCCAGGTGATGTTGGTAGGCTGGGGAATTTCCAGCAGCCTGGTTCTATGTGGGATGAGCTGTAGCACAGCTTTTTACTATACATCTGGCAATGACCACTCTGAAAGGATTTTTAGAGCTACCACTATTGAAATGAGGCTTTCAGAACCAATTTTTAAATGACTAACTAAGAATAGTTGATTCTGTGCAAGCTTCAGTGCCATTTCAGATTTGAACAGAAGGAGTCCTTTGTGTCCAGCTAAATGGTGGCATAAGCAGATCTCTCTCCATAAATTTCTTGTCCACTTATACCATCATTAAGCCTGGTTGGTTCCCTGGTTTCAAGCTTTTTACGTTTGTAGCTTTTTTTTTTTTAATAAAGCCTCCTGATATCTAGTAGATGTGATTATGAGTGAGCTGCCTTTAAATATGTATTACCAGTGTCACCATGGTAACTGCTGTAAGAGTTTCTTGCTGGTAGAAGGTTTCCAGCTCCCTGAGATACAACAGGGCAAAATGCTTTGGCTGTTGTTTTCACAGTTTGTTTGAGATCATACACAATATCAAAGAGGAAGAAAAAACATATTTCTTATTTTTAACAACAGTGAATGTTAATGGTACTGAAAGGAGTAAGATTGATTCTGAGGATGATTCTGGAGTCTGTCCTCAGATCAGAGAATAGGGGACAGTTACACAGGCAGGGACAGATGAAGCTTTCACTGGAGAGCATACCTTCACCAGCAAGCTCCTGCAAGAACAGCAAAACCTTGCTCTCCTTGACTGAGCCAGCACTTGGCCTTTCTTTTGATACTGTCAACAAGTGAACTAATTAATCCTAATGAAGGATGCAAAGTCGTGATATTCCACTTGCCACAGAGCAGGCAGAGTTGCTCAGTGATTCAGTCTGGAGTAGAAAAAAATCGAGCTGGCTTGTGTGTTCTCTCCTCGTTTCTCTGTGTTCCCAAACTGCTACTTTTTTGCTCTAAGGCTTCAGCTTCTGTGCACCAGGCTGGCAGTGTTAGCTGGGCAACATCCACAGTGACCTTCCTGCTGTCCTGGATATCCTAATCTTCCCCTTCTCTCACATCTGCTTTCTTTCCCAAGCTCTTGTTGCTTGGGCAATCAATCCTCTTTTACTCTGTAATGACAATTGCTTCTACAGACTTCCCTACATGACAGGTTCGCTAATGTCCCTCACTCTAACTCTGTCACCTCAGGGGGTTGGTTTGCTTTTATTTATTTATTTATGGTAAACAGGTCACAAACTCCATAGGGTGGTACTTCCCTTTCTTGCAGTCTGTTTTCTTGCTTCATTAGCCTTCCATTTTAGTATCTGCTGGTGATTTTAAATTATCACTTGCTGTTATAGAAACTTGGAAAGCTGAGCACCTTTTTCTGCTGCTCTCCCACTTAATTAGCTGTGCCTGCTGGTTTGGGCATTTAGGCCTTCTACCTTTCGGTAAGGGAGGCTTTGGTTGGTGTAACAGGCTGTTCAGTGTAGCTGTTCTGTACAGGAAAATGGGAGGCTGAGCTTCTGGACTTTGAGGAGAGGTGCAATTTGCATTCATTTTTTGCGTTCGTGTGTTGAGGCAACTAACCTGACAGAGCCAGAGCGAGTGGTACTGTGCACCTCTGTGATGGAAAGAGTTCCAGCTGTCTGGAGGAGGAGTTTGTGCTAACAAAGTGCTGATATTTCTCCTTACCTGCCTCAGACGCAACGTGATCCACATACTAAGATCTTTTTGGCTGAGTTTAAAAATGCTCATAATGGATCTTAGTTATGATGTTTATTGTGTGCCAAATTTGGAACAAGGGTTTAAAATCTGAAGTAATTATGATTGATAACCAAGAAATCCAAGGACATTTTCATAAGAAATCTTGGAAGCAGAACCAGGGTCTCGGGAATTTACTTGCCTTATACCACTCCATGTTACTGTGGTTAGTACTCGGAGGATCTCAGTGTTTGGGTACTTCAAGTTTCAGCTGCATAGTTAAATTTTCAAGTGTGCTAAGTTGATTTCTAAGTCTAAGCAGCAGCAAACGTTCATTCATACAAGCTGTCTGGAAGCAAGGAATTGCTGAACTTGAATTTAGATCCTCTCTTTTTTGCTGGATTTGATTATGTCACCAAAGTGAAACTTCTGTGCTCTGATTGTGGGTGCCTATGTATAACAACATGCATGTCTTTTGCAAAACTGCTGACTTACATGGGAGCTAAAAATTAGTGGGCACTTTAGATCTTTACTAGCTTGTGGTATTTTGTCAGTAATTTAGGTGCCTTTGTTTCCTCCTTGTAACATAGGTAAGTTATTAAGCTACTGTAATGATTAGCTGATTCTGTTCAAGTAATCTGTAACAGATGCAGAGAGTAAGAACAAGACAGAAACCCCTAAGACATTGCTATATGGGGAATCAAACCTTACCCATAGCTTTTTTTCTGAAATCCTGATCTACATTAGAGGGTGTGTTCATCTCCTGGGACTTGAACTGCTTGTGCTTCATCAGCTTTCTCTATTAATTTGTCCTAGTTCTTGTTGCTGCTGGGCTCCCTGTGATGCACTCTGTGCATCTAGGCATACCCCGCTGCTCTGCTTCCATTCAGGGGTTGTCAGCAGTTCCAGTGCAAGTTCCTCTGATACAAAGCTGACAGCTCAGGTCTTTTATTTGCACCCTGAATTGCACCAAAAAGTTAAAAGCAGTGAGGCATTCCTCTACCATCCCGTTGGGGTGTTTTTAATTCTAAGGCAGCCTAAGGCACACATCTTCTCCAGTCCTTAATTTTCCTGCACAGCTCTCCATTGTCAGCAATCAGCAAAAATGTAATGAAATGGTGTTCTGCTCAAGGCTCCTTGGCTTTTCTAATGGTTACCTGTTGTAATTCCTTTCCCGTTAGGTGATAAAATGCAAGCTTTTCCAGCATGTGATCCCTCTCAGACAATAAGCAAAGGGAGCAAGTAGGGTTGTGCAGTATTTTGCTTGTGTAAGTAAGCAAGAACTTGCTGTGCTGCTTGAATATGGTAATTCTCTATGAATTGTTAATGAATGCCACATTATAACCTATATCTCAGAAAATTAACAGTGAGGAATAATAAAGGAGCTATTCCCTTTCCCCAAAGTATTTCCTTTAGTCATTGAAATAAAAAAATTCAGTTAAGACTTTCAGTGTTCTTTTTTACTTATCTTCCCCTTTCAAGGAAGAGCACTGAGTATTGCCTTTTTGACATACTTAGATTTATCTGTGTTTTAAATAGAAGGGTAACTGTGGTAAAGCTATCATTGGTTTGTTGCTGTGTGTCTGATGCCTAAGAAAGTGCAGATATTTGAAACCTGCAGAGAAAAATAAACTTGGGATAAATGTGTGCAAAAGTGACCAGAGACTTTTATTTTAAATATATGAAATACAATGAGTATTCCTTCACCACATAGATTTCCTTCCTCATTTTGCCTTTTTCTGTGGGTTGGCTTTTTTGGTAGATAGATATCTGTTAACTCTTCAGTGTTCTACTCAGAAATTACAGAAATGCTGAAAAGTGCTGGCGCCTCTTACAGACTCTTACTTTTGAAACTGGCAGTTTCCTCATTCTATTTTTGACTTACTTAGTGGCTGTTCCCTTGGAAATTTTAAAGTTGTTGTCTGGTCTTCTGAAATTTTGGCAATAGGCACCAGAGGAAGCTGTTTTTCTTGTCTCCTATAGCACTCCATGTTCTATAAAACATCTGCCTTTTTTCCAAATTCAATGATTCTAGTCTCTTCCAGCAACAAATATTTTGTCTAGTTGCAAGTCAAAGCTGGTAGCCATGCCACAGGCTGAGCTCCTCAGATGTATCAGTGGGAACGTGAAACTGTGTAATATAGTCTCTTAAGAACTGGGGGGCGGGGGGGATCTGAGTTCTCAAAAGTCGGTACACACAGTTTTCTTGCACTGGCAGAGCCTTTTTGGCAACAGTTGCAGGAGTTCACTCTTTATATCCACTCAGAATCATCTTGTTAACTGAACAGCAGTTGTTTTTGTCAAATTGGAAAGTGGTGCCCCATGATTCATTCTACAAATGTCTACTAGCTGCTTGAACTTCCTGACATCTGTAGTGGAACTGAGAAAATAAAGAAGTTTGTATCAGTTATGTACAAAAAGGAATCAAGCGCGGAGTAAATGCGGTCCCAAAGCCATGGCCTGACTCCACTAATACCCACTGTCTGATGCTGACTTTCCTTTGTAGTTGCTTTTGGTTTTATAACTCCAGACACTAATGTTCCAAGACTTATAACCGAATTAGAGACTTGCTTTAAAAAGACATTGTTGTTGACATAATAGCCTTGTTTATGGAATTTCTCTACTTTGTAATTAAGGTTGTTGCATGCACAAAAGCAATAAATATAGCATGAATATCTATAAATGTAAAGCTATTTTAAGTCTTGTTCCTTGTGCGAGCCTTTTTCTGCCATATTCTCTTTCTATGCATTTGCTTCTCAAATAAGCGATGCCACTACAAATTCTGCCCTTTGCCCACTCCATTAAGTTGTGTCTCATCCATATTTGTTCTTGTAAAATTGCACAGGCAGTGCAGGTTGCAACATAAAGCATATGAATTCCTCAAATGCAGTATTTTAAAGGCATATCGATTAATGGGGTTTGGTCTTATTCTCTCATACCTTGTTGCAGAGTGGTGGGAGCTAGTAGATTGAACAGCATGCAAGCAATATGCTCACTGTTATTTTGTCTGTCAACCAAATGTACCAGCTGGGTGAGAACCTGGCAGATTCTTTTAAAAAGTTTGTGTCACTACTTGAAATTGTTTTCTCATCCTGGCTGTGTGAAAGTAATTACGGTTAAGGCCCTGGACGGGCCACAGGATTTCTTTATGGCCATGGCCAACTCATTTCAGCTGTCTGTTTCTGGGCTCTTTGTTCATTAAACAGAAAGGCAATTTTTCAATTCAGAAGATTTTATGCTGATTAATTCTTTGGTCTAAGTAAAGAGATCAGCTAATTACAGCAATAAGTGCTACCAGAAAACCTCTAAATAAACAAATGTACTGTCTGGTCTTGTTGAGCATGGAAATTGTATGCCACTATTCCAGCCTGTCTACCAAAGCTGAAGCATGTAAATGCTGTGACTGTCTCCTCATGTCCAAGCATTTTCATTTTTAGTTTTTGCTCAAGTTATAGTTATCAAAGCTAAAAATATCTTTGTGGATGAAATATAGTAGCTCATCTCCTCTCCCCACTCCCCTCATTTCAGTTCTTTATTTCTCTTGGCTGAAGGATAAGAAACCCTATTGAGCTGACAACGCTGCTCTCCCGCTGAGCCCATATGAACTCACCAGCAATGGCAAAGAGACAGTGTGCTGCAGTCCAGAAGTGTGTTTCTCTTCTTCAGACAAAGAAGCTTTTCAGCAAGGTGTATGCAACTGATGTCCCCCCATTTATGAGTTCAGGGTCCAGGGACCTGCAGTCATTTGCTTCCGAATCAGTATTTTTCAGCTGTATCAGTTCAGTTTTGAAGGTGGTCTATAGTGGAAGCAGAGGGAGTGACTTGCAGTCCCTCCGCTGGGTACCTAAGTGACCTCACTGCTTATGCATGCATTGCTGCATGTAGTGTCACTTCCTCAGGGAGGAGAAACACAGTGCATGTAGATCACAGTATCTAACACAACTTTGTTAATACGAGTCACAGAAAATACTGGCTCCTTATCAGAGCTGTGAAAAATCTCAAAAACTCTAAATGTTAGATCTATAAAAATAGGGAATGGATAAATTCTACCTGTGATCACACAGCCTGTCCTCAGGTACTGAAAAAACTGGCAAAGTAGGCTGGACAGAAAGATTGGTACTGTGGGTGTCAGTGAACTTGGAATAGCACCTGACAGGATTGGTTGAATGTTTAGGGACTTATAACTAATAATGTATGCTTGAGATCTGCCAAACATAGACTGTTATCACATGCTAAGTAAGTCACAATGTGGTCTTTGTCTTGTTCTTGTGTTTTAAGATCTGAAGGCAAGAGTTCCTCACTCTTTAGAATAGAATATAATGAGAAAGTTGGATCCCAAATCCATAACCTTTAGAAGGGATTCAGCTTGGACCCAGTCTGTGTCTTAAGGTTTGGCTACTCTGCAATAACAGTAGTGGTGCCAACACTGAACTGAAACATAAATTTACTCTTTGGCATAATTTTAAGCACCTTTGGCACCTACTAAGGAGTTCCAGGGGGTGCAGAAAGGTTGAACCATTCAGATGCAGCAACTCTTAGGCTCATTTTGTAAATCTTCCCTATCTCTATATTATGAGACTACTACCGTAGTATCAGCATTGCTTATATACTAGGTTCACACTGCTGGGAGAGTATCCTTCTCTGCAATTCAGGAGAGGATTCCTGATCTGTAGTTGCAGCCTGAATGACTGTCTTAGGTCAGAGACATCAGAGAGCAAATAGCCCCCTCTGGACAGAGTCAAACAAAAAGCCCAGTTCTAAACACTGTAGTTTTCTGTGTTTGAAATCTAGATTTGGATTTGATTTATCTTTGCATCTCCCATTTCCTCCAACTTGATACTATCTTTGCCTGTTTTAACTCCATTAAGACCTCTGACCCTTTCCTTCCTGTTTTCAGACACTAAATTCTCTTTAGAAAGCTTAAGAAAGAGGAACGTTCTTGAGCATTGCTCACTCTTGTCCGTTATTTGCTCTCTTCTAAATAAAGAACAGATTGACACTTCTTGGACAGCTCAAGAGAAGTCACTCAGGAGTGATTCTAGTTACTTCTTGTGTAAAAGCCTCTGTCTTAATGTATCTTCCTTCTCTGCACGCACACACTTTACCACTCCTTTGAAGCTATGATGGAGGCAGGGGAAATGTCGTAAGGTGTCCTGGCTGTGATTGCTGGCACTCTGGGGGAGAAGTTATTAGTGTGGAATACAAAAGCTTCTGAAA